TCAATCTAATGGGTCGATCGAGCTCTCTATATCCTCTTGTCTATCTAATCCCTCCTCTCTCGATTTTAAGGTTAGACACTAAATTTATCTTATGATGATCAAGCATAAAATATAAAAATAAGAATATCGAAGTAACTTCTGTTGACAACCAAGAATTAATTCAAAAGAAAATAATATTCAACATTAGGTTCGTAGCTGCAGCCCCAGAACTAGGGCAATTGAACACTAATACTATTCAAAAATCACAAAAGACAATTATTCATGTGATTTCCAAAAATAAAAGAGTAAGTAGATCAAAACCTATTACAAAGTTCAATTTTTGTTCTTGCACACCAATTAAAAAGTCGAACCCCAACAATGAAACCTTAAGGGCCTATTTATAGTAATTACGAAAAAAAGAATCGAATTCTAATTTAACTATGAGTCCTTTTAACTTCAACTTTCATCAACAAATACTCATAAGGCTGGGGCGCCGCGCCGGAATCGTTCCTGACAGGGTGGCGCCCTGCGCTGCCATTGTGCCTTAAACATGTCGCAGTCAGCTTGGCATGGCGCGGCGCTCCCTTGCTGCACTAGGGTTATTGGGGCGTCGCACCAATGTCGCGCCTGACTGCATATTGTCACTTTCAAATCATTTTCCTTCCAATACTTGATCATCTCCCTTAGTAACCTGAAAAATCACTAATCCTTTATATTTGTGTGCAATTATCGTAATCTTGAGATAAAACATGCTAGTTAGATTAGATAATGTCCTAAACTAACGTTAAAGATGGGTAATTCGTAGTAATTGGGCATATAAATATGCTCAAGATCAGTTAACATAATGGTTTGTCTTGTAAGCTTGAGTGAGGGTTCGAAACCAGCTCAGTGCAAATATTTATTTTATAACTCATCTTTTTTTTTTTACTTTATAATCAAATCTTTCCTTCTTTCTTTATGACTTACCTTTTAATATCGTTTCATTTTTGTGGTTCCTTCCCCCCATTTATACTTAATTTGATTACTTCACGTTTAGTTTTATTTTATATTATATAGTTTATGTAATTTTTGTGATTAAAAGAAAATCACGATTTTATTATTTTCTTAAGAAATTTTTGCAGCCTTAGAAATCCCTCATGATAATTTATTTTTTTCTAAAAAAATGAAGAGTTCTTTTAACTACGACATATAAATAGTTATGCATGTATACTATGCGACTCGTAGAAAATTTTTATATTAGTTAGCAAGCAACCACAAACTTAAAATTCTGAATCCGCCACTGAGAGTTGCTGAACAAATTGTAGCAAATCATTTATCAATTCACAATCAGATTTTCCTTTAACAATTTTCATCACATTCTAAATCAATATTATTTATATAATTTTAGAACATTAATATTCTTTAATTAATCTACATGTTCTATTCATTAAAAAAAGAGACTACTTTCGTATGAATAGTCACAACAATTTCCTCCTTCTTATTTCTTCTGTCATAAATCATAACCATTCAATTTTTATAAATTCTGGGAGATCCTTTTTCAGTGACAATTTGAGATCATTTAAAATTTCATTTCCATAAACTAGTATTCGTACCCGCGCATTGCACATATATTTTTCAATATCATAATTTTAAATTAAACATAATTTATAAAATTTATTATTCAGTGATTAATTATTTGTCGAATAGTTTATAATAATACATTATAACTACCAAACAACACTATTTATTGGATTTATAGATGAAAAAGAAGGATAAAAATATAAAATATAATACTAAACAAATAGAGAGCGTATAAAAATAAATATGTGACTGTTTGTAAGATTATGTACATTTCATTTAATAAAATAGTATGAACACTTGGTATTTATAAGTTTCAGCTCCTATATTGGGGGCGTATCAAAATAATCGTTCTATTAGTTACAAACATACAAAATATATAAAGTTAAAGTTATCTTTTGTGTATGTACAATATGTGTTTGAATCACCTTTATTTTTTTATATGTTTACTAATCTATTTAAACCTCTTTTTAATTATTTGTGTGTTTACTCTAATATCGATACAGTGCAAAATTGTATATAATTAAATGTTACTTCATTACCTCTTCCTTCTACCTCAAAAAAGGCATTAAATCCTTGTTAGAACCAATATAAGCAATGAAATATTCTCTACATTCGGTATTATTTGTCATATTATGCTTTTCGAAAGTCAATTTAACTAATTTTTAAAGTCAAATTAGATCACATTAATTTAATATTTTTTTTTAAAAAATAGATATTTTAAAAATATATGAAAAAAACCTATAAATTGCAATTTTTCACAATTAATATAATAAAAAAATATATCTTAAAATTTTAATCAAAGCTTTTATAATTTATCTCTAAAAATAGATATCATAACAAACAATATCCGACCGAGGAATAGTAATGTATAAAATATCGTTCCGCCAGTCTTAAACATCGATGTTAGTGAAGAAAGAAATAAAAAGACACTGGATCATGCAGAATGCATAAACTATAGAAGTGGATGATGACAGAAGTTGTGGAAATAATAGATTTTTATGAAAAAGTGGGTTGATAAAATTGTGGATAGCAGTTTATTTTTGGAAGTCGTGGAGTTATGGAATTGTGTATTTTATAGGGATAAGGATTGTTAATTCTCATTTGTCTTCGTCAAGATTAAGAGGTTTGAATCTAAATATATATTTGAATATTAAATTTTACATTAACATTTAGATACTATGATTTGAATAGATCTGAATATTAAAATGTAGTCTATATATGTGAACACTAAATAATTAATGTTATTTTTTTAATATATAAATGACCATGTTAAATTGAACATTATATTAATAAAACATTATAAAACTTCATTTCAACAAAATATATGGCTTTTGATAACAAAAGAAGTTTTAAATGTTTTACTAATCATGATTTGGAGTATTATTTTTTCATTCAAAAACCTCCATCAACGACAATACACCACAAATATTATTGCAATCAATGTTTTTGACACACGTCAATACAAAAAAGTTATTATTATTAAATAAAATACTTAAAAGGATTTATGAAAACTCACAAACATTATTATTATAAAAAAATACTTGAAAAAATTTATGAAAACTTACCAGTGTAAAAGTAAAAAATGGTGTTTAATTGAGAAAAATAAAAAAGAAAGTTTTTAGTTATGCGATAAGAAGGCACGCCCAAAGTAGAGAAACAATGATTTATTATTTGAAAACTTATTAAATGAGTCTAAATGTTATTAAGATTCCTCCTATTCATTCAGACCTCTTCAGATCCATTAGAAGACTTTTTCAAAAAATAAAAACAAATAAACTTAATAAGCTGAATCTGAGTGATTTAGATTCAGACCAAAAAAATCAAACACACTTAATAGGCTAAATCTAAATAATTAAGATCCATATCTCAATTAAGTGCCAAAAAATGAGACCCTTAAGCCATGTTTGGTTTTTCAAGTTTTAAATTAAAAAATAAGAGATCTTTCTTTTGTCAAAACACAGTTATTTTGTATATCGATTTTCTACTTTTTTTGTGTAATTAGTTATTTATATTATTCTTGTGTTTCGCAATTTGAATTTTTAATTGAAAAATAGATTTTTAATTGGGAGTAATTCTAACTTCTTTGTTGATAATTTTGGTAGTGATTATAATCTTAAAATTAAAAAGGAGTTTTAATATTTATTTTGAAAAAGTTGATTGTGTTTGTTTTAACGTATTGAGATTCAGTTTAAAATTTAAAAATATTAACTAAGTTTACATAATAAAATTGTAAGTTAACAAATAACATAAATAAATGAAGTTCTTTGTCTTAAAATAATTTTCGTACTTGATGTTTTGCGAAAGATGATACTAATTATTTTACTACAATTTTATTTCTCCAATTTTCTATTCAAAATCAAAAGAATAAAAATATTTCGAAAAACAGTAAATAGTCAAGGTAACTTTAAATTTTCGAATTTTCCCATTTTGTTAGTGTTTGCAATTTTTATTTTTTATTTTTAGATTTTAAATTAATTTAATGTGGTGCTGATACGTAGGTATTTTTTCTTCTCCTTATATATAAAGATAGATGATTGATCCCCAATTCATTGATATGTTTCGTCGAAGTTCTTAGAATTGGAATTCAGGTATTGACTTTCTATTAAAGAAGAGAAGATAACAAAACAAATATGCATTGGAAGTTCTTAAAAGATTGAAATCCAAAAATAAAAGTTGAATTACTATGATACCCTCAATAAAAAATACTCTGTTTATTTAATTATGTTATATTAAAAGTTTACCTTTTCACATTAATGGACTGTGACTTTTGCAATGAGTTTTGATTTTTTCAAAGGGATTAACTCTTTTGACGGGTTGTGACATTTATGATAACTTGTGTCTTTTCCAAAGGACTGATTTTTACAAAGGATTATTCCTTATCTAATGAGTTGTGACTATTTCAAAAAGTTATGTCATTAATTTTGAGCAGAGACTTTTTTAAAGGATTGTGACTTATGTAATAAGGCACAATCAAAACATATCCATACTATCAGTGCATTAGTTAACTGTTTACTAGTTACTGCAGTATAAGCTCAAGTCTTTAGGTACTGTGGTTTAAGTTTTTTAGTAAATGATTTTCTTTACTATTTACTAAGTCTTCAGCAACTAATTAGGATTAGCTTTACCTCCGCATTTTGTGCAGTTCGCTTAGGATATTGTTAGACTCAATCGTGTATATCAAGCTGTTACATTCCAGCCATCAGGAATTAAGTGCATCGGCAACTTATCTTGTTTATATATGGTTTCAAGAGACACAATAAACTCTAACGAGTATGATCCTATTTTTATTTTATTTTTTTCTCTCTGCCAAAATCTATCAATGGGTTTTACTTCTCTAGTTGTCACTGCAGATACTAACATAGGAGTGACAATCGTCAAAATTTAGTCCGGCATTCCTATTGACTATCAAATTACTTGGCAGCCAAAACTTTTCAACGTGGAAGACACAATTTTTAATGCTTATGCATGGTCATGATCTATATGATCATCTCGATGGATCTGCTCCTTGCCACTCTCGCACGATAACAACTGGTACAATCACTAGTGCGAATCCTGTGTTTTCTCTTTGGTTTCGCCAAGACCAACTTATTCAGAATACACTTATGGCATCTCTTGATCAGACAATTGCCGTGAACAAGTCTCAAACCAGAATTTTCAGTTTGCCTGATAGACTTGCGTAGCTGACCAAAGACTCTCAACAAGCATTAAATATTTTCAAAATATTTAATCTGTTTCTGATGAACTCTACTGCTGGTGCCGAAGTTACCAACTCCGAACTTATTGTTAAGATCCTGAGTGGTTTGGGCCCAGAATTCCGTGGGATTTCCGCTTCAATCCGGCTCGTGACTCCACTATTACTTATGAAGAACTCACAAAAAGCTATGAAGACTTTAAGACGACTCCCAACCAGATTACTGCTGCAGCTGCTACTTCCACCAAGTCTGGTTATCCCGACTCTCGGCACCATCGTCGCTCCAACAATGGAACTGGCAGCAATCAACAATGGCAGTCCAACAATTGTTTTCCTACACCCAATCAGTGTCACTCTTCGCTCACCACCAATTCTTATGATGGTGTTCATTGCCAATTGTGAAACAAACCGGGTTATGTTACAAGTGTTTGTTGATCAAAATCTCACAATCATTTTGACGCAGAGGCCAACCATATTTAAGGCATGCAGTCATCTGAAACTCCCTGGATTGTTGACTATGATGCATCTCATCATATCACTGCTCACCTTTACAACTTGCAAGCTTACAATGGCATGGACTAGGTCTCACTTGACATCATCGATTGGCTCATCGACATGCAAGACTTGTAAATTTTGTTTTATATAAATTCTCGCTTCCTTTTTCATGCAAAAATGTTTTAGTTTTTAATTCTTGTTCATCAAATAAAGCTCGTCGACATCCGTTTTAACAACTAACATTATCATGTACCAAACCATTTCAAACCATTTTTCAGTGATATGAGGGGGCCTTCTTCAATTTTATCAATTCAAAAAATAATTATATTACTGTAATTTTGTTGACCACTATCCCAAATACCAATTGGCTTTATACCTTGGATAAAAAAAGCGACTTAAAACAACTTATCCAAAACTTTGAAGTTTTAATGGAAAGTAATTCCAATACAAAAATTCTTTCTCTATATACAAGTAGTGGTGCAGAATATAAAATCATTGATTCATGCCTAAGAACTCAAGGTATTGAACATCTTTTAGCTTCTTCATACACCCCTCAACGAGTTGCTCTTGCCGAACGTCGAGATCGATATATTATTGAAACAGAATGAACTTTACTCCATGAAGCTTCGCTCCCGCCGACCCTTAGGTCCTTTGCCTGTCAACACATGGTTTATATCATCAATAGCTTACCTACCTTACTTTTGCAAAATCAATCACCTTTCCATATATTATATGGTAAACATCTAGATTACGCCCAATTAAAAATTTTGGGTGCTTGTGTTATCTATGACTCGAGCCATACTCGAAGCATAAATTAGAGCCGAGGACGACGCCTTGTTTTTATTTGGGTATTTTCATCAAATTATCATTGCCGTCAATGTTTTTTTGATTAGAAATCTTAAAAAATATACTTGTCTTGAGATGTCACATTTTTTTAAAGTGTTTTTCGTTTTCAAACTATGTTTTCAAAGCTTTCCTCATATTTTAAAACTCTTTCTTGGGAAAACCTGGTTGAACCTACAACGGTTGGGTCTCCTCTATCTTCTCCAACATCTTGTACAGATTAACCACCCTCTATTATTTTACCTCATGCAGATACCATCAAGCACACGCATGAGACTTTCTCTTCTGACTGTGCTTCAACAGGGTCTGCGATTTCAGGTACTTTTCATAATTCTTCTCCTCTACTTTCTTTTCTTTCTGCTGCCCTATCACATTCTATACCCCTGTCACCAACTTAACTACCATCCACATCCAATCAGCAAACACCGAAATCTCCTATTCAATTTGTTTACTCACATCGCTCAACTCAACTGGCACAACAAAACACGTCTGCTCCAGCTTTGCGTAGCCCACCCGCTTCCCACCTGCTTCAACATCGACTCATCACCCGTTCACAACACAATATCCATAAACCAAAGAAGCTTTTTAATTACATGGCCCAAATAACACCTCCATTCACTCCCACCACCTTCAATCAGGCCACCAAACAGATAGAGTGAAAGATGCTATGAAAGTTGAGTTTGATGCACTATGTAAAAATCAAACGTGGGAATTGGTGCCATGTGATCTATCTAAAAATGTTATTGCTTGCAAGTTGTTGTACAGAATCAAGCGTAAGGCTGATGGTTCTATTCATCGCTATAAATCTAGATTGGTCGCAACGGGATTTATCCAACATCCCTGTGTTGATTTTCATGACACGTCCAGCCCAATGGTCAAACCTACTACTGTGCATGTGTCCTCTCTATTGCAATCAAATCTGATTTGCCTATCCATCAACTTGGTGTAATAACACATTTCTTCAAGGAAGTATAGATGAAGAGTTTTATATGGCCCAACCTCAAGGATTTGAAGATACAACTTACTGAACGCATATTTGTCGTCTTTATAAAGCTATCTATGGACTAAAACAAGCTCCCAGAGCATGGTATAATGAACTCAAGAATCATTTTCTCATGTTGGGCTTCATTAACTCTAATTCTAGCAGTACCCTATTTATCCGTCATCATTCTCATGCCACTGTATACCTATTGTTATATGTAGAAGATATTGTCATTAATGGCAACGACACCAACTGTTAGTTAGTTAATTTCTTCCCTTAGTGTTCGTTTGATGAGTCCAAGATTTGCACTCATTTAGGGCTCGATTTTGAAAGGTTTAGTGTCCTCAAATGTATAATTTGTCTATAAAACTGAATAAAATCTTGAGTTTCAGGCATTCTGAAATTAGATACAAGGCACTGACACTATATAGCAAAGAGGAACAGAAGAAGCTAAATGAACAAAGAAATGAAGATATGAGGATCTTTGTACCCATTCGATGTGTTGCCAAAAGGTCTTATCCTCGCCTTTTGTTCTAGTGAGTTGTGCCCTGAAGGAAAGAATCAAATCGGCGGAGAAAATAATTAGTCGGCATTCCTCTAAGTAGTTCCGCAAAGAAATATTGTATCGGCTAATGATCCAAAAAAATGAAGATGTTATAGTCTAGAACAAGACGGCGATGAAGCTACCAAAGGGCGGACAATCGATGTCACACTTTGAAAATCCAAGACAAGTCTTAGAGCCCAACATAGGTTCCATGGAGTCTAAGCACTGTGTTAAGATCTATTTTAATTAATATAGGTCATTTACCAAGTTTAAGAACCAAAATGTCCAAGAACGTCCATGACGTTCGGAAACTAGTTCTAAGGGGTACTAGCGTGACTTAGTCTATTTGACTAACTTTTAGGAGTCGAAAATCCATGAAATTAGGTGGAAGGGTGTATAAAGTTCTAAAGATGATTCGTGGTCAAAATATCTGGGTACAACTCTTCTAACACCAACCAAGGGACCTTGAGGAGGACCTTAGAACGTTGGAGGAAACACTGCCTAGGCAATGTGAATCCATGAAAAAACCATCAACGGCTCGTGTGTGGATAAATGGGGCATCGATGATAACAGTCGTCCCACACCTAGCCATATTGATGGATCCATCGCCTGCACAAGTCTCTGACCACATCGACGAGTGTGCAGGATGGAGGAGGGGGCACTCGTCGACTCACAGACGGCCCGTCGGTGGGGTTCTATCTTTGAGGGTTATGTTTTCCTGCATGTGTTTAACGTTGATTCATCTCATTAATTATGGAGTTTAGGTGTTACTTAGGTATTAAATAGAGATTAATTAAATAATTCAACCCCACATATAAAGACCCCAACTCTCATTATTCTATAAAATCTTCCTCAAACGTTGAGGTATGAGATCTAATTCACCTTTGAGACTCTTTCCTCAAAGGGTTCCTTCTTAATGGATTTCAAAAGTTGGGTTTTCAAGTGGATTTCACTCAATTACAAATTTGATGTTATGAACTGAGTTTTTTTATGGTTTCTTTAGGATACAATGGATAGATTAACATGTAATTTAACTTGATTATTATAATTTGTGATGATTTGACCTAAATTGAAGAGCATGATCCTTAACCCTTAACCCTAGGTTGTTCTTGATGAAAATTGTGTTGTGATTGATTCAATTGTCTTAATTGTGGGTTAAATCACTATTAGATGATGTTTTTACACCAATCATCAACAAATTGGAATGAATTGTTTTCTTTCATTCTATCTTGAGAAGTGATCTAGGTTATGGAAATTGGCCTAAGTAAACTTGTTTTAAGCATTGATTTGGCATTGAATTATGGTGTGGTGACTCTTCTAGTATTGTTATCATGTTGATTATTGAATTATGATTTTGAACATCTAAATAGTATTTAATTGAGATTTGTGGTAAGGCCGATATTATGAACCATGAAGGATACTTGGTAATCCTTGGAATCTCTATTCTAATTGTGATCAATTGTGGTCAAGTCATGATGTTATATTGGAGAATGCCTTATATTCAGATGATAGGGTGGTATGATGTTGAATTGAAATGTCTTGACTATGTTGTGAGGTTGATTAAGGTGTATGTGATATAGGGATGGTGATGACTATCAACGTGCCTTGATATGCTATGAAATGCTAATGTGTTAACCTCACTTATATGAATTGTGATGAAAATACTATACTCATGCAATTCTTAATGAGCTATTGATGGTGATTATACAAGGGGTAGACCCTATGACCTAAACTAAGCTATCATTGATAATTAAAGGATTGAAGACATTTCAATAAAGGGACTTATCTTAGAACGGAGTGAACTTGACTATGGGAGGTGATAATTTCCCATAGAGGAAGATTCTCCCTATAGTTCTACATGAGATGTTGACTTTTCAAAGAGGAATACTCATCCAGTAGATTCCCAATGGAGGAGACCGCAATTACAAAATGGTATAAAGAGGAAATATACTATCTCTTACTTCTTGAACTATGTTATCCCCATAGGAAGACTAGCTAGTGGATCCACCTAGAAAGCTATGTTTATGTTTGGTTTTACTTTGGCCACTAGACAACCTTCCATCGATGTAAGGTTTTACAACACCGGATTCCATACTTACATCTTGTGGTATATGTTGGTTAAGGCAAGTGTTCCCTATATTAAAATAAAGTAATGAACTATAAACTACTTAGGTGATTTGAGAGGTTTAACTTAGCCTAGGTAAGGGTATGAGACTCTACTTATGCCTTACACTACGTAAGGGTATCTGAAGTTGGACATTGGTTATGGTTTCTTGTTGAGGTTACTTGATTGAGTAAGGTTATGGGGCTTTGCACTAATTGACTCGATAAGGATTCATTAGTAGTTGTCTTGACTATTATAATAGGATTAACTTCTTATTCATACTTGTGATGTTATTCCTTGATGATAGGGTTGTAGTAAATCATGGGTTCAAGTATGTTGGGATACATGTTACTTGTTTGAGTTAGTAAGCATGTTTGGTTAATTGGTATGACTTGATTGATTTTGCATGAGACTTTTAAAAGGGTAAAATGGAA